GTGTTAGCCAGGGTGGTCTCGATCTCCTGACCCCGTGATCCGCCCGTCTCGGCCTCCCAAAGTGCTGGGATTACAGGCTTGAGCCACCGCGCCCGGCCGGCTCGCTCATAAATCTAACTAGTCAAAAATAAATTCATTTGCTCTCATGAATCAGGGGCTTCAGGCACAGCTGGATCCAGATGCTGAGGGTGTTGCAACTATGTTTGTTTATTTCCCGTTCTGCGTTAGTGTCACTCTCAGCCAGGCTCTCCCCTCATGGGCACAAAAGGGTCCCCCATAGCTGCAGGTATCTCCTACCACCCCAGGGGTTATTTAAAAAAAAAAAAAAAAAAAAGAGTGCCTCTTTCTGAGAATTTCAGTAAAAGTCCCAGGATTGATTCTCGTGGGCTTAGCTTGGGTCATGTGTTCATCTGTGACCTCATGACACACTCATTCATTCATTGAGTTAGTCTAACTCCTTCACTCATTAATTTACTTAAACCTCTACTGAGTTACTGCTTCTCTTTTTCTTTTGTGTCTGTCTCTCTCTTCTGTATCTTTCTTTGTCTCTATGTCTCTGTCTGTCTCCTCTTTCCATCTATTTTTTTTTGTTTTGAGATGGAATCTTTCTGTGTCACCCAGGCTGGAGTGCAGTGGCACAATCTTGGCTCACTGCAACCTCCGCCTCCTGAGTTCAGCAATTTTCCTGCTTCAGCCTCCCAAGTAGCTGGGACTACAGGCACGTGCCACCATGCCCAGCTAATTTTTTGTAGTTTTAGTAGAGATGGGGTTTCATCGTGTTAGCTGGAATGGTCTCAATCTCCTGACCTCGTGATCCACCCGCCTCGGCCTCCCAGAGTGCTGGGATTACAGGTGTGAGCCACCACTCCAGGCCCTCTTTCCATCTGTTTTGTTTGTTTTTGTTTTTGGAGACAGGGTCTCATCTCACTCTGTCACCCACGTTGGAGTGCAGTAGTGTCATCATAGCTCACTATAGCCTTGACCTGTGGGCTCAAGGGATCCTCCTGCCTCAGCTTCCGGAATAGCTGGGACCATTGGTGAGCACCACCATGCCTATCGAATTTTTAAACTTTTTGTAGACTTGGGGGTCTTGCTATGTTGTCCAGGCTGGTCTTGGACTCCTGGCCTCAAGCAGTCCTTCCACCTCAACCTCCCTAAGTGCTGGGATTACAGGCATGAGCCTGTACCTCTCCTTTTGTCTCATTTCCATCTCCCTTCCTCTCCTTTTCTCTGTTGCCTTCAGTCACTAACCCTGACATGGTCTCTGAGCTGTGTGCCATTCAGTTCAGTGCTCTGGTTGGCTCCTGCCTTGGTGGCAGGAGGTTGGGGGCAGGGAGGAGCAGCTGCCCTCCTGTCCCCCACCTCAGCCTCACCATCCCATCCCCTGCCCAGAGTGATCGGGGCGAGTACCGCACAGAAGAAGGCCTGGTGAAGGGACACGCGTATTCCGTCACGGGCACCCACAAGGTGAGTGTCCCCCATGGGTGGGGTGGCAGGCCATGTCCAGGCATCATCCCCACTGACGATGCTGCCCCAGGTGTTCCTGGGCTTCACCAAGGTGCGGCTGCTACGGCTGCGGAACCCATGGGGCCGCGTGGAGTGGACCGGGGCCTGGAGCGACAGGTGGGATGGGTCTGGGGTGGGTGTGGGGCTGGACCCCACCTGCCCGCCCCTCACACTGCAGTCTCTCCAGCTGCCCACGCTGGGACGCACTCCCCACCGAGTGCCGCGATGCCCTGCTGGTGAAAAAGGAGGATGGCGAGTTCTGGTCAGTTCATCAGGGTCCCAGCTGTGCCTCTGGGAGGGTCTCCGTGCCAGGGGGCTCAGGGAGGGGCGAGCCCCAATGGAAGGATGGGTCCTGATAAGGAGAAACTGTGTACATCGGTGGTAATTTTGGGGCCAGGTTCCATTTTGGGAAGTCAAGGAAGAATTGGTAGTAATATTAGAGTGCCACTGATTGGAGTGGGCTAAAAAAAGTAGTAATGTTAGGGGAATTTGAAGGCATAGTTATCTGTGGAGGGTATAGTACTTAGGGCAATGGAAGAAGGCTTGGTGTTATTTGGGGCATTTCTTGAGATTTGGCAATGCTGAGGGGCTGAAGGATACTTGTTGGTAATTCAGAGTCTAAGGGTCTTGCTCTTTGGGGCTTGGTGGCAATTTAACATATTTGGGGGCAGCTTGTGAATCGCGATTTGTGGGGTGTCTGAGGACCTGGAGGAATTTGGGGGAGCTAGAGGCCCAGCTATTTGGGGGTCATTTCTGGAACCTGAAGGGTATTTGGCAATATTTAAGAAATGTGGGAGGCTTTGGGATCTGGGAGTCATTTCCGGGATCTTGGGACCCCCTCGAGGTGGGGCGGGGCAAGGTCTGACTGGGCCACCATGCAGGATGGAGCTGCGGGACTTCCTCCTTCACTTCGACACGGTGCAGATCTGCTCGCTGAGCCCGGAGGTGCTGGGCCCCAGCCCGGAGTGGGGCGGCTGGCACGTCCACACCTTCCAAGGCCGCTGGGTGCGCGGCTTCAACTCCGGCGGGAGCCAGCCGAGTGCTGGTGAGGCCTGAGGGGCCCTGAGAGGCTTGCCGGGGTGGGGGGCGCTGTGGCCGGCTGGGAAACCCCCTTTCTTCCTCCTCCCCTAGAAACCTTCTGGACCAATCCTCAGTTCCGTTTAACGCTGCTGGAACCCGACGAGGAGGAAGACGAGGATGAGGAAGGGCCCTGGGGGGGTTGGGGGGCTTCAGGGGCGTGGGGCCCAGCGCGGGGGGGCCGCACGCCCAAGTGCACGGTCCTTCTGTCCCTCACCCAGCGCAACCGACGGCGCCTGAGAGCCAAGGGCCTCACTTACCTCACCGTGGGCTTCCACGTGTTCCAGGTGAGGTCCTCGGTAGAGCTGAGGCTCGAGGGAACCCGGAGGATAGAGGGGCGGGGCCAAGGAGCAGGGGAGGCATGGAGGGGCGGGGCCAAGAAGAAGAGGGGAGGTGTGGAGGGCGGGGCCAAGGGGGAGGAGGGGAGTGGTAGAGGGGTGGGGCTGAGGGGGATCGGAGAGGAGTGGAGGAGCGGGGCCGAGGAGGGACGGCGCGGGAGGGGAGTAGGGGGCGAGTAGGGCTGGGGGCCAGGTCTCAGAGGGGGAGAGGGAGCTAAGGGAATGAGAGAGAGGGGCTCAGGGACAGACTGAGGGGCGAGGTTAGGGACAGAGAGAGACTGGAGGTTAGAAGGGCCAGAGGGGACAAAGGAGACAGAGAGGCGCTGAGAGCGCAGATGGGGAAGGAAGGGTTGAGGAGGGGTCGGCGAGGGCCTGGGTCGGGGACTGCGGGGCAAAGGTTCAATAAGGGTCTAATAGGACGAAGAAGGAGGGAGAGGGCAGAGAGGTGAGGAAAGGCAGGGAAGGAAGGGACCCTGAGCGGCGGCCATCCCTCCCCTGCCCCGACGCCCCTTGCTCTTGCTTCTTTCAGATTCCAGAGGAGGTGAGT